ATGGATGGATGGATGGATGGATGGATGGATGGATGGATGGATGGATGGACAGATAAGCCAGTCAAAGAAGGAGTAACTAGGAGATAGATGGCCTGTGTGAAGTTCAACAAACCCCTCCAGCTGGTAATTGCCCCCAACACTCAGGCTCCCCCACTGGTCCTAGGGAACACAGTTTCCATCTCCTTCCCCCTAGTCCTTCCCCTGCCCGGCGAGTTTCAGAATTAGAAAGACTCCCCTGGGAGCCCTGATGGTGTCGTGGTTACACAGTCGGCTGCCATCGGCAAAGGGGACAGTTCCAAACCACCAGCAGCTCCACAGGGGAAAGACGGGGATGGCTGCTCTTGTAGAGCACTATCGTCTCAGAAGCCCACAGGGGCAGTTCTACGCTGTCCTTTGGGGTTGCCATGAGTCAGTATTGACTCCGTGGCATGGTGTTTGTGTTTGGTTTTGCCTTTCTCCCGAGTCCAGTGCCGGGAATCAGATCTGTGTCCACTGGAGCACAGCTTCCCCTCTGTAAGATGAAGATGCTGAGCTGGCTGTGTACCTTGGACTGGTCCAGATCGGAAAAGCACGGTCATGCTGGGCCCCAGCCGCGAAGCGCAGAAACCACTGCAGCCAGCTTAAAGGCCACTCTGGGAGGGTCTAACCAATAGAACAAAGCAAAGGAAGAGAACGAGGAGAGGGACGAAAGAGAGGGAGAAACCAGAGGAAAAAGAGAGGAGAGAGTCCATTCCCATGTCCCCAGATTAAAAGACCCTTAACACGCAAAGTCTCCGGGAGTCATCTTTATTCTTTTTTTAAGCTTATTGCAACGGATTGAATTTAGGATGGAAGTGATACAGCCCTCCACTGTGGAGCGGACTGGGGCAGGACCACCTGCGGAAGAAGATGCTCAAAGAATGGAAGGCGGAGCTGGCTCCCGCCTGCCCCCTCATCTCCACCATCCTCCTCCTGTCAGCCCAAATACCCCTGTCCTCTGCTCTATACTTGGGGGCTTCACGGAGCTTGGGGGGGGTGAAGGGGTGGGAATGCCGTAGCCTTTTATGTATTAATCTTGTGAACCCCGTATAGTGTTTGGGTAGAAGATTGCCCATGCTTTATAAAAAGCCATTTGCCTAATGAAGAGAAGCAAGAAGCTCAAGGTCACACAAGGGCGTTGTCACGATTCGGTGGAATTCAATCAGATGCCTGGGAGAGGAGGAGGCTTGGTCCAACCCAACTGGCCCTGGTTGGGCAGCTTGGGCCTAAAGATGGATGGACACCCGGGCTCAGCTCCAACATCAGGCTCCTCTGAGCAGCATTCCACCAGGATGGAACGGCCAAGCCAGGCCCAATTAAGAACCGGAAAACCTGGCCGAGGGCAAATGCCCAGACCCCGGGGTGGGAGGAGGGGGGCTCAGGGCCGCAGCCCAGCTCCCTGCAAGCCTTACTGTCGAAAGCCTTCCTGAGACATCCCCTTGGCTGCTGTGGTACATAATCGAATCTTCCCTTGATGACTCCGGATCTCACCCTGCCTTGGGCCACGTGGAGAGCATCAATTACGACTGGGCCCAGGTGGGAGCAGAGGGGAGGGCAGGACCAGTGCTGACCAGCTGACCCTGCGCTCAGAGGATCAGGGAAGAGCTCATGAGACTGTAGGGGTGGGGGCTGGGGGCCGGCAGAGACTCCAGCCTGAGCCCCCGGGGGGTTGGAGATTGTGGAAGAGCAGAATAGAAGCCTCCCCAACAAAGAAGGGACGCCCCCAGAGCAGGTGGGGTGCAGTGGGTCTTAGGGGTCTGTGGAGGTGGAACCAGAGAGCTGGAGCTGGGCGCAGGGGGTGCTGAAGTCAGACTGCTTGGCCTCACTAAGGGAGCCAGAGTGTAAGACAAGGCCGGTAGAGTTGGTGGAAAATCTTGGCTCCTGTGGGTAGACGTGGCTGGGGACTGTGGGCCAGTTACTGAACTCCTCCGTGTGTGTGGCTCAGACCATGTCTTAAAGGAAAGGGTCCGGAAGAACATGCATCGGAACCCTGACCAGCCTGGGCTTTGGAGGTGTCGGTGGGGGCGGTTTGGATGTTTGCTTGGATTTGGTGCGGCTTGTCTGGATTTCCTAACTTGCATGTGACAAGCACGGAAATCCTCTTCAGAGAGAGAATGAAAAGAAAGCAGTAGGGATTTTGCCATTTGTCTCCAGAGGGAAGCAGCAGGTCAGAAGAGGAGCCTGTCTGTTGAGACTGGGGGTGACCAGGGGGCGTTCCCCTGCCCAGAGACCAGGCAGGGGTCAGTGCGAGTGGGAGCGGGGAGTGACAGGAGGTAAGCCGAGCCCCCAGAGGACAGGTATGGTGCTGTTTTCTGGGCAGGCAAGCCTCCAGACCCCTCCCCAGGAGGCGCCAGGCAGGGGAGGCGACGCGGTAGAGAGAATTGCCTCTCCATCAGCAGCAGCCCCTCCGCCGTTGGCTGGACTCAACCAGTGTCCTCTGAACATCACCTCAGAGGTTCAGGCCAGACACCCTCCCCATCCAGCTGGCCGCCCTGCGAGGCTCTGTCCCTCTGCTGAGGCAGCCCTTTGAGGAAGGAGGCTCGGCAGGTCCATGCCACCCTCCCAGCCGGTGCCATTAATCCTGTGAGCAAAGTCAAACATTAGCCTGGGGAACAGCTTACGCCTTATATAAGCCCCCCTGGGGGAGGCACAAACACAGCTTGCTGGAGCCGAGCGGCCCCAGGACAACAGCTGCCGGACAGACAGAGCCGGGGCTTCTACCCCAGTGTCCAACAGCCCCGCCGGAGCCCAGTCCAGCCAGGTAGGAGGATAAGAGGTCCCAAGCCCAGGTCCCCAGGACCCCTCTGGAAGCCCCACCCCCACCCCCATTTCAGGCCCTGCTGACAAACCGTCCCAGGCCTCTGAGGGCATGCTAGAGCCCCTTCAGTGACCCCTGTCTGGTGGTCCCCACCCCAGGGAACAGCGGAAAGCCAGGAGATGCCGGGCTTGGGGAAACATTTCTTAGAGACCTCCCAGCCTCTGTGCATGCCCCTGCCCCTTAACTCTGAGGATCTTGTGTGTCTGTCTGGGACCCAATGGGGGGACCTCTCTGCCCACCTCCGCTGTCCCATCTGTGCAGTCCACAATCAGGCTGGGGGCAACTTGTTCCCTGTGGGTGCTGATCATACATGTAGTGTGTGTGAGCAGCCCGGCTGAGCACCCACATCCTCACACCCACAAGGGCGCGCGCACGCGCGCACACACACACACACACACACACACACACACGAGCTCACTCAGCTGTGCCCTTATATTCCAACCTAAACATCAGCCTCCCAGTGGGTAGTGCAAACCACTTGCACTCTATGACTATCCTAAAGGTTGGCCATTCAAACCCACCCAGCAGTGCCGTGCAAGAAAGACCTGGTAATCTGTCCGCATACATAAGGACTGTAGCCAAGGAAACCTCTCGGAGGGAGCGGTGCTACTCTGTAAAGCCTGAGGTCACCAGGAGTAGGCATGGGCTCGACAGCAGAGGAGTGGGGTCTGGTTTCCGTCTGGTTTGTAGACGCCCTGTGGATGCAGACCTGTGCACATGCCCCGAGGTGCCACCCCACCTCTAAACACATGAAAGCACAGACCGGGAGCACCCCCATCCCCGCACACGCACCCAGGCTCCCTCGGCCACCCATCATGCCCATGAACGCACAGACATCTCCCCTGCCTGCAGCACCGGCACCTCTCGCCCAGCGCCATGACCTTCTCGGACCTCCTGGACCGCGCGGGGGGCTTTGGCCGCTTCCAGTTCCTCCACCTGATCCTGCTCGGCCTCCCAGTCCTGGGCATGGCCAACCACATGCTGCTGCAGATCTTCACGGCCACCACCCCTGCCCACCACTGCCGCCCACCCCCCAACGCCTCTGCAGGGCCCTGGGTACTCCCC